AACTAATTACCCTACTAATATACATTACAATTATTTAAGAATGGCTACTAAGAATTAATTATTAAATTAAATAATTTCATTGATATTATGTATACATATACTAACCTGCTACTTAAATTAAGTCTGCTATATTAATTCTCTGTTACTTACTGCTGTTAAAGTATCCACTAACTTGCTCTGTTAAATATCAACTCTATTAAATATCAACTCTACTATTTTACTGCTACTAAAGTGTCTCTATTATTAATATATCTCAATTACTAGTATTATTGCTATTTTATCAACACTGCTAAATTAATACTGCTATATGATAATTCTGCTAAAATTAACTCTACTATTTTAACTAAATTGATAACTCCACCAACAACTCTAACAACTCTATTGATAACTATATCAACTCTATTGACAACTCTATTGACAACTCTATCAACTCTATTGATAACTCTATCAACTCTATTGACAACTTTAACTAAATTGAAAACAATTAAATTAATCAATTACTTCAACTATTTATCTCTAACTTAAACTCCTAAAAATTATAATACTTAATAATACTAGATTATTATTATTATTATTATTATTATTATTATTATTATTATTATTATTATTATTATTATTATTATTATTATTATTATTATTATTATTATTATTATTAGAAACATGATTACTAGCTTGAAGGCACAATTCCCGCTACAGTAACGTGACGTGATGTTTTATGAAAAGTCACCCTTAATAAAACATATGATCATTAAGAAAATGTGCCCCTCAGCATGGACAAGTGTGCCACTCGGCACACTCCCTCTTCCTATATGGTGCCGATCGGCACCCCCTTACTTCCAACCAGGCCGTTCGGCATGTGTCTTGTGCCCCTCGACACACTTTGCCTCATACGCAAATTTTACCTGTTTTCAACGCAATTTTTTCCCAGTCTCTTGCAGACACCAATACAGTATCCAAAACACAACAACATACCAACAATATTCATCATGAATAATTTCTAGAAACAACAATTCTCAGTATTGTAACAATCAGGTATGCAAAACAACAAAGATTCTGTATATTGCACAACAGAAAATCACAGACAGTGGCAATTTCATACAACCCAATCCCACATACAATTCATCATATACCCAATTATAGGGTCAAAACCCACCCTTACCTTGGATTGGAGACTGTTATATAATTCTCCGATCAAACCTAGCCTTGCCAAAGTTTCTCACCTTTGCCTCTTATCCTTTTCTCTACAACTTTGCACTTCTACGTTCGCTCTCCAAAATCTCCAAACCCTTATTCTCTCTTCTACTTGACAAAAACCTAATTCCTTCTTATTCAACTTAACATATAATTTCTATTATTCTTAATAATTCTATTGGGCCTAATCTCAACACCCCCACTTTTACTACCACCAACCATTAGTTAAGCCCATATAATAAATCTAGTATTATTCCAATACTATTTGTACAACTTAATAACCAAATAATCAACTAACAACATGACAACTTAAATCAACATTTTCAACAATTCCAACAATTAATCCGTAATTAATTTAATTAAATAATTAATTAAATTAACGGGCGTTACACTTGACTCCCTGTGAAGTTTGTCTTTCCTTAGGAAATTTTACCCTATCAGGTGTCTTGAAGAGATGATTGATCATCAAGCCTGCTTATTCCCCAATGGGCCAGGTCTTTGGCCTTTTCTGAAGTAATATGCATTGACGTTTGTCGTTCAAAGGTCTTTTGTCTCCAGTAAGAGAGTATTGCTGGAGAATTCCCCGGTGAAGTTCCAGATTTCAAGTCGTGGTTCAGAGGTTTTCTCTTCTTCCTAAGTGAATTTTATTATCTCTATTTGTCATCCCATGGTGGTTTGAATATATTTCTTTTCATTCAAGAATTTATGTGATTCTCAGTGAAGTTTTTCTCATCTGGAGGGGATTGGATTTGATCCCCAGGAAATTGAGAATTTTCAAGATTCTGTTAGAACTGCGATTTATGTTTGCAGTTTTTCTCCCCAGGAAGTTATTTGTTCAGTGATAGCAATCTTCAGAGTTTGATTGAGTCTGAGTTGTGATTCCCCACTAAAATTCAGATTGATTAGATATGCGAAGATCTTCGTCCGGGGGTTCATCTTCTTCTCAACAGTCGATTGTTACCGGATGTTCCTCATGCATCACTAATTAAAACATGCATCATTTTATTGCATCTACCAAAATGCGTAGCATTTCCATTGTATGGAGCATTACGCTATAAAAATTCAAACATACATGAATATAAGCCAATTGTATTCACCTTTGGTAACCGGATTTTTACACGCTCAAAGATGAATTATATCTACAGCAAACCTAGGATGACCAAGTCTGAGTATAAACAAAGATATATATATATATATATATATATATATATATATATATATATATATATATATATATATATATATATATATATATATATATATATATATATATATATATATATATATATATATATATATATATATATATATATATATATATATATATATATATATATATATATATATATATATATATATATATATATATATATAGTTATTGTTTATTTTAAAGATTATAATTTAGACTACAAGAATTGTTTTAATCTAATTCTATTATAAAAGTACTGCAACTAATTTCTCTGCTGTTAATTTTAATAACAATGGTGATATTTTTTGCATAATTGTTGATCTTATGATCACCTTTTATTATGCATAATTCTTTTGCTTTTGTCCTCTCTCTGTCTATAAGTTATGTGTATTAATTTATGTTTTTAATTGTTTTAGTGATAAATGAGTTAAGTGAATTAATTTTATGTAATTTATTTTATAATCTAAAGTTATTACACCACAATTTACTTTTGTCCTAGAGTACAATTTAAATTATGGTTGATTTAATAAAGATTATAAATATAATATTTCTTACATGTACTGTTGATTGAATATCTGTGTTATGAATAAAATTGACACTACTTTACAGTAATTATATCGCTATCTTATACGTGATAACAATTGTGTAATTTATTAAATAATAGATGTATTTGAATTTATATATAAATTATATATATTAATTAATCAATAAAATAGAAATCATTGGATCTGAAATTAAAACCATCGAAATCATCAGATATAAAATCAAAACCAACAAACCTACAATCGAAACCTCTAAATTTTAAAAGTGTTTATTTTTAACCTTCATCTTTAAGTATTAGACTTTATAGATTTTCGAGTTTAATCTTAACCCCATTTTCATTGTTTATTTTTCAGGTCATTATTCTTCATCAATGAGACATAATGAATGTATTTTTCAGATCATTATTTTTCATTTACAAGATTTCATTTTTTCTTTTTAGGTTGTCTTTCTTCATCAAGAATCATTGAATCTATTTTAGATGATGATTTGGAATGTCATGTTTTAATTTTAGGTTTTTTTGAAAAAGAAGTAATTTTTTTAAAAAATCTGATCACTTAAATTTTTTTTTTTATAATTTTAATATTTTTTTGATAAATAAGTCATTTTTATAAAAAATCTGGAATGAGTATATGTTATTTAATATTTTTCTCATTTTATATTAACTAAACTCCTTAGTATGAATAAGGATATTATAAGATTTTGTTTGAATCTATAATATTAAGTTTTTTTAATGTAGCGTATGAATGAGTTTTTTTAATTTAATTAATTAATTTTTTTTTAAGTCGGATAGATGGAACAATGATGAAGTTGTAGGCATGGAGTCATAGAGTGAAACTTATGTGTTGTCTTTAAATATGACTATATAACCATACATTTCAAACTCCATACAATTTTATAATCTAACCAAAATATTTTGTATACAATATCAATTTTAACAAACAGAATAAAACTTAGATGAAGGATGATTAATGACCAAATTTAATTTGATGAGAAAATAAATAATAAAATCTCAGGACTAAAAGAAAATGAGGAGCAAATATGATAAAAATATTTGTATACGAAAATATGAAATTATTAATTAAAATATTAATTATTAACGAAAATATGAAGTTATTTATCAATTTTTTTTTTTATCAATTATATATTCAATTATTATTTTTTCACGAATACTAAATATTTTTCTATTAAAAAATATACATCTGAAACAAATGCACGTCCTATCCGAGAACTCATGCGAACACACAGTTTGTCACTAGTTCTATTTAAAAAACGCAAACACCAACAGCAATTTCCATTCAGGTAGAAACAAAATCTCTCTCTGATTTTGCTACAAATATCTTTTAAGACAATTATTTTTTTAAACGAGAAAGATATATTATTAATACAAATATTTTTATAAATGAATTTTTTTATTAATACAAATATTTTTATAAATAAATAAAAATATATTGTTGGTATAATTATTTTTATAAACAGAAATTATAAATATTTTTATAAATATTTTTTAGTCATCAATATATTTTATTTATATATATATTAATTATTATATTATATTTAATTATTATTTATAATAATTTGTGTGATCTTTAATTATTTTCTTATTAATATCTATTAATAGACACGTGTTTGTATATATTTTATCTCATTAATATCAAAATTTCAATCATTATAATATAAAAAACAATTGATTAATAAATCATGTCTCATTTTCTCGCAATCACACCGCACACACACGTGATAGGTTAAAAAAAAAGCGAGTATCTGAATTCTTATGAGAGAAGAATAAAATATCTTTTTCTAAAAAACAATATATCATTTCAATTTTCAATGATCTAAAAAATAATTTAAAAAAATACAATAATTCGATTTTCCACAATCTGTAAAATCACCTTTTGTTTACCTATCAAAACCACCAAAAACCAAATCCAACCCCAACCACCGCCACAACACAAACACAACCAAACGCATAACAACATCACCAAACCTAAACCTCTCCCCCTTTTATTTCATTTCCCGATTTACCCTCCCCTTCTTCTCTTATTTACCATCCTAACCTTCCTCCTCCTCCTCCTCCTCCATGGCCGCGTCGCTCCTTTTCCTCTCCATCACCGCTTTCTCCATTCTTCAATCCGCATCAGCTTCTTCCTCCGCCTGCATCCCTACACCTCCGTCGTTTCTCTATCATCTTCAATCTCAATGCCCAATCTACATCCAATCCAATCCACCGCTTCAGGTTCCTCTTTTTTACCCTAATTTTCTCATTCTGCTGCTTAATTTTTCTATTTCTCTTATTAAATTTATTCCTGGATATTAAAATTGTTTTTTTATTTATTTCGTTTCAGCTTTGATTAGGATTTAATTAATTTAACTGTAAATGTTTTTTTAAATTAATCATTATTGTTAATCATAAAAATTGTTTAACTTTAATTTAATCCTATCTGCTTATGAATTATTGTGTTTGTTGATTGGTAAAGACTTTGTATTAAAATTAAACTCCTTTGATTATTATGTGGAAATGGATAATAATTAGCTAAAGGGTATACGTTATGATATGAAGCTGAATGAGTATTTTGTAGGAGATTCATAGTTCTATAGGAAAGTAGATTTCAATTTTTTTCTTTTTTGATTTTGATTTTTAAAATATTCTGATTTTGTGGAATTAGGAATTATAAGTTTATGTTTGGATAAACAACTTATTTGCAGAGTGCTAATGTTATTTTTATAACAAAAAGTAAAATACATTTAAATTGTTTTTATATATGTTATAAATTGTTTTCATTAGCTATCTTGAAGGATTTATAAAAATAAATTAAAAAAACATATAAAAATGTCATAAGCTGTTTTGATAAAGTTTTCTAACTAGGGTCATAAAAGTTATGGTAGTAGATAAGTTCAAATAAGCCAATCAAAATAGGTCATAAGTATTGAAGGAAAGGCATGTTGGGGTAGTTTTATGTAATTTTGTAGGTTTGTGATTTTTTTGGAACTGTTTTGCTATTTTGTAGCAAACAATTGAATTCATTGCACTGTCCTTTTCTTTCAACTTTGTAGATTTTTTGTTTCCACTTTAGAGGAGGGTAGGTTTTATCACTATGCTTTATTGCTTTCATTTGACTCAATTATTGTACTGTTTTACTGTTTGTGCCTTTTGTTTGAATTGTTCTATCAGGTCAGTTTTTTTGAACCCTCTGGAGTCAAAGTCAGAAGCTGGCTAGTTTAAAAAAATTAACCTTTTTTTGAGATGTAATTTTTTTGTGAGTTTATGATTGAGGATTTAATTGAAGTCGAACACGAAACCATTTCGTAGTAAATAAAATGCTGCTAACTTCTTTTGTGTTCCAATGACAGTATTTAACTTTTCATTTGATTTATTCAGGTGGATGGAAATTTCATAGAAGAAGTTCTATCTGGCAAAAAGAAGACGGAGTCTGTCTCTATACTCTTCTATGCTTCCGGATGTCCATTTTCACGCAGAATGCTTCATAAATTTGAAACTCTTAGCTCCATGTTTCTTCAAATAGATCATTTTGTTCTTGAGCGATCGTCAGCTTTGCCAAGGTTTTTAAGCTATTCCTGCTTCTATTTTTAATTTTCTGGATAATATGATAATAATCATTATGAACTTGATTTCTTATGTTGTATGGGATGCTATATTTGCTTGGTTTTCAAGATATATTGCACTGGTTCAGCAATAACCGAGCTTCTTATTGATGAGGCTAACTGATGCCATTAAGTAGTTTTTAATCAATTTTTTAAAAACCTGACCGGAGATTGAATCAGTGAGACTTTCGGGCCATGCTCAATTAGTTCAATCAATTCAGCCACGGTTGAACTGGATGACAAAGAAATAAATAAGTAAAAAAAACTGGTCCTGGATGACAAAGAAATAAATAAGTAAAAAAAACTGGTCCGTTTCAATTAGATTGCTGTACAATTGGGAACAAACTGGCCGGTTCTTGGTCCGTTTTTTTAAAAACGTTGTTTAAATGTACTAGTATTGTTTCCTTTTCTCTATATTTTGTAAATGAATTTGAATTCAGTAGAAACTATGGCACTGATAATTTAGCTAGGGTTGTAAATATCTGAGATGTTTAATTTTGCTCTGTTTTGCAGCTTATATTCAAAGTATGGAATCCATAGCTTGCCCTCAATATTATTGGTGAACCAGACCTCAAAGTTGAGATATCGCGGTCCAAACGATTTTCTCTCTCTTTTGGAGTTTTATGAAAGAAACACGAGTAAGCATATCCTGATTCTTGTTTGTAAGTAACTTCAGTGACCGTGATCATGTAAACTTATACCTGCATTTACCTGTTTGCCTGTCTCAGGGTTCGAAGCAAGTAGTAATAATGCCATCGGTGAACCAAGCAGCATGATGATGACAGGCGATGAGAATTTGAGTCTGAAGTCATTGATGGGTCTGTCACTTAAAGAAGCATCAGTAAGGGAACCTTACTTAGTGTTCTCATTGATGTTTATCTGTTTGAGGATACTTCTTATTGTATTTCCCAAGATCCTATTGCGTCTCCGAGCATTCTGGGTTTCCTGTATTCCTAATCTGAACATGCAAATATTTGGCGAGACAAGCCAAGTGATCGGACGCGTACTTCAAGTGATTGATGTGAGGAGGATTTGGACAAAGCTGGGACTGTGCAAGACAAGGATTTTTCACGAGAGGGCAAGGAGTGCGCGGGTTTTGGCTTCATCTTTGGCTTCTGTTTCTCTCGGCGAGTCATCATCAGCTAGATAATCATTCTGAGGTTTGAACTAACAACCTTAATATGTTGTTATGAGGGTAGTTAAGAAATTGTATTTATCAGATAAATCCTCAAGATGCAGGTGAAGCTTGGCAGCACATAGTTTCTATCTTCCTCCCTCTTTTTTACTTTTTCTCTTATTTTATTGGTAGATCGAATAGCTAAATGTTGATTTGTGTTTTGAGTTGTTTTTTTGGGGAGGAACAGGCTTGTAAATTTGAGAACTGTTTTCCTTTTGTGTAAATTAGTTGTTTCTGAATGGAATTATATACACATTGTCTTATGAAACATCCTTCCTAAACTTCCTTCCCCTCCCTCTCGTATATATAAAACTCAACCAACACTGTTTCTAAAGTCTTCAAGAAGAAGCCTTTAATGTTCATGAAATCAATGTTTTATAAATCTAATTGGACATTGAACTCCCTCTCGTACATATAAAACTCAACCAACACTGTTTCTAAAGTCTTCAAGAAGAAGCTTGTAATGTTCATGAAATCAATGTTTTATAAATCTAATTGGACATTGAACAAGTGAGGCTTAGTCATGTTTCAATCTGTTAGAATTGGGATGAAACCACAACCATTTTTTTTTGTATTGTTATGTTTATAGCAGCTGCTAACGAAGTTTATGTAAAAATTCACACCCTTAATTTGTAGTCTCGAAGTTTATGTAAAAATTCACACCCTTAATTTGTAGTCTTAATTTGTAGTATGCCTACCCTGCCCTACCCCTTTTTTCCGGGTTTTCTCGGGTTTTTGTGGGCATGGATATTAACAAGAATTTTCACAAATTTAGTATTTAGGGTGCAAGGTCGGTATGCCTACTCTGTCTTTATTAGGTCGGATTTACAGACTAGTCTAAAAGATTTGTCTTTATTAGGTCGGATTTACAGACTAGTCTAAAAGATTTGATCTTTATTTTTGTGGGTCTACATACTAGTCTAAAACTCTTAAGTCTTTTTATAAGTCCATTTAAGTTAAATCACATGTCGCAAAATTTTTTTTTTTAAAATTTATTAGACCGACTTATTTAAATAAATACGAACACTTTAATTATTATATGGTGTTTGTATTTAAAATTAAAATATAAAAGTAAAGCTTAGATGTCTAGAAGAATTTATGAAAATATGTTGAAAATTTTTAATGAACAATATCATAAGTTATTTTTATAATTTCTCTCAAACAAATAGTATCACAAAATATATGTTAATATGTAAATTTGAATAATTCAATGCAAATAAATATTTAGTTTAATTAATCATTTAATTTGATAGTCTATTTTAACATTAGTTGAATTGTTTATTTGAAAATGTTTAAATAAAATAAATTTTTATATAGGTTAATAAATCAATCAGACTTTCGAAAAGATCAAATTCAAATATAAAAACAAGTCTTTGATAAATCATAAATTAAATTTAAATTTTTAACAGATTAAATTTAGATTTGACAAAGTTTAACTTAGCCTAACCTTATTCTACCCATAATCATATGAAAAAAAAAAGAAAGTTTAAGATAGTAACTAGGATTAATTTTAAGGACCCGACACAATTACAGATGAATGTGGACATGTGGTGTATAGTAATGATATTAAAATCATTATTACTGAAAATCGGATTTCAGATTATGGAAAAGTAAATCCACTTGTCATTAAAAAGTTCAGTCAACTCATTTGGGTAAATTTATTAAATTACATAGTTGAAAATATAAATAATACGTGCTAGTTAGAATAGATAGAATAATACTATGGGTGACAAAGTGGATGGCCTTCCCTTTTTAGGTCCGGATTTAACTTGCAACTCTCAAAATTGAACTTGAATTTGACACTCATCTATATTTTAATAATGTCAAAAATGCTTCTGGTTAAAATTTTTGGTGCAACACAAAATTTCTGATAATTTAACTAAATTTTTTGTAACTTACAATTGATTTTGGAAATTTCAAAATTTACTATTTTTTAACCAAAAATTTAGCACAATTGTAAAATTTTTGGTAGTATATTTATTCAAGATTTTTCAACGATCAGGATTTTGCTGACAGTTTTGTAAGATCATATTTGCACTGACAATAGTGTGTGATCCAGAATGAATCCAAAATTGTATAAATAAGAATCATATGTTGTTGAGAAAAATATATAAAAAATGCATCTTCCTCAATTTTTAATTAAAGAAAAAGTATATTTCAACAGAGATAAACCTCCTGTTGAGTTCAAGATTTCAGATGGCACCACAACTCTCGCCAACTTGACAGATAGATTGAATGAATTGATGCATGATACCGATAACGAAAATATGAGAAAGATTGAGTTTTGTGAAGAATGAATTGATACAAATGGAAGAGTGAAATACAACCTTATTGAGTTGAAGACGGATGAAGATTTGACGATGATGTGGAGATCATTTAAACGTAGGCTAACTAAGAGGCCGATTGAATTTGATGCAGTTATTTTTAATTTATGTTTGTTGTATTGTTTTATGTTATGTTCATCTTCGAATCGAAACATGTAATCACAAAAATATTATGCAATAAAAAGTATTACGCTAAGTATTCTGAGTCAGAAAATATACAAATAATACAACTCTCAAATAAAAAAACTAAATAGGTCTCCCACGAGCTATGTGTGTTGCCCGAGATAATCTAGTAAAAATTTCACTATCTGGGTTTACCAAACCCATGAGGTTATCCATTATAACAACGATCATCTGTAGGCGCTCCTAGTCATTTGTGTTTGGTGGAGGTGGTGGTGGCGACACGTTGTCAGCCTGTACCCCAGCCTTAAAAACCTCAGCATCAAAAGGCACCCCAGCATCAGAAGGCACCCAACATCAGAAGGCTCGACAATAGGCCATATGATGCAAAGGTGTGATAAAGTGAGATATCATTCCATGTAACTATCCTCACACTACGCAGGGTGTTGAACCCTCACCGTGCTAGCCTTAATGGCACGAGAAAAGTTGATTATATTATTCTAAAACCATCTGTCAATGCCCCTAGCTGGATCATTTAAAACTGGTCGTGGATGCCCTGGACATAACTATATTGTCGCTGACACCTCTCCGGCAAGTGTCTAGCCACTAAGGTCTCCCACCTCATATGACATAAATATAAAGAAGACTCGTCAAACTCACGGTGGATCCGGTGAGCTGTGTATAGTGTTCAGATGACATCCCCTACTCTCAATGCATCAAGCCTCCTCATGTACTCCGTAACACCACCAGAATGCGCTTGTATAACCTTTCATCTCCTCGCCTGTGGGGCATCCACTGAGGCATGCTTCAGACTCCTCTCATACATACTAGAGAATTGCTCATATATCCAACACTGAAGAAATAAAAATTAATTAATGTAACAAACAACAATTAAATAAGAATAATTAAGCACAATTAAAAATTAATTAATGTAACAAATGTTTGTATACCTGGAATAGGCTCAAATAACAAGCAAGTTGTCTGGTCTTAAAGACAGTCGTAATTCCAAGGGCCATATAAAGCATAGTTAATGCAACTACTCCAAAGACTAACTACTAGTCTCTAGGCTACTTAACAACCACGAGTATCAAAAATCAACATAAATATAAGACTTATCCGCAAAGAGAGTACATGCAATCATATGTAGCATGTACGCTCTAGCGACAACCTCATACCTATGTACCTCCACAAGCTCATGGTACCTGTCCAAAATTCAAGACATCCAAGGGTGAGCTCCTCTGTTAGCATCAAACTCCGCTAGCACGACTGCCTCAGTGACTTGCAGACCCTTTACAACCTATAACAATGCTATTGTATGGTTAATTAAAGGAGCAGTAAAGAATCTACCGGCGATGGGGAGATGAAATAAGGAGAAGACATAATTCAAAGTGATAGTCATCTCCCTTAACAGAAGATGAAAGGAAGATGTCTCTTTGTGCCACTGCTCAAAAAAAGCAGACAGAAGTGAAGCGTCGAGCACAATCAGTGAGCAGTCGGCGAACTCCAGGAGACTAAAATCAGAAACAATACTCCTGACCTACTCAAGCATCAGAATCAATGGGAATTTCTTCATCTTCGAACTGTGGGATGTGACCTTCAACGTCAGACGTTCCTGTAAAAAACAACGTCAAAAAAATTATCAGTAAACTTTCAACACATCACCGAACAATAATAAAATAATTTTCAATTAAAAAATATAACATATATACCTCTCCCTGTCATAATCTGCATGCGACATAGTCATCATACTCAGTGAGCACTGATCGATCACTGGGTCATCTCAAGAACGCTCCACCAATGTGAACATATGCCTTTGTAGAAGCACGAGCTGTAACGTCTGTATCAGTAGAAGTATCATCATCGTTAATAGGAGGTATGAGAGGCACCTCCACATCTATAACCGACACAAGAATATCCGCAGCAACAAGAACCTCCTCTTGAGCAACAGGCACATGAACCCTCTCCTGAGAAACCGACACAAGAACCTCCTCATCAGCAACTACAACAACATGAACCTCATCAAGTGGGGGCACTCCTCATCAACAACTCTAGCTGCTCGACGTCGGGGTGTGCGAAGTTAGCTTTGTGCCTACTCAGCCATCTGTTTTGATATGTTACTCACTTTTTTCGAATTTTTTTTGGTATAAGCTTGAAATTTTCGATATCGCCTGAGAGATTTCAAAATTTTCGATTCGTTTGAGTGAATTTGGAAAATGGTGAAATGTTTGAGCAATGATATTATAGTCTTTTCATTCACTTTTAGAGGGAAGAGGGTGTCAGGTTCAACTTGGGGGTGACAAGTTAAATGTTCAAAAGTCAAATTCGTTCCGTTTACTAACGAATTAGCGGGTTGGTGAGCCAGTCCGTCAAACTTTTTAAAAAAAATTTCAACTTGATTTACTATTTTATTTACAATTTATTAAAATTATTTACTATTTTATTTATAGTTTTATTTACTACTTTATTTATAAATTTTTAGATCATATGTCATTAACAATAAAAAAAATGTTTTATTTACTAGTTTAGATT